TTGCACCATCCTGACAGGGCAGTCTGGGGACATCATGAGCTCTAATTGCATGTCCCTGGGACCAGCAGTTCTGTTCCAGCCAGTTTTCTTGTGGGTTGACTTATATGTGACACGACTGTCATGCTCAGGGTTATTCATTATGACTCTCCTACAATAAATAGACATAAAGGAGAAACTATCAGCCGCCACCTACACTTAGGTGAGGTGAGGACCTGGCAGAGAGTGATTGAAGAAAGCCTTATGTTCCCACTGGGGGTTACTTGTTAATAATCTGTGGCACATTTGTCCCCTGGAACCACTGTAGTCGACAGTAGGGATTCAAGGCCCTTATGACTCACTGGGATGAGCATCGAGATGTTACCTGGTGAAGAGACAAGAGACAGCAAGAGAGTTTGCAGCTGGATTGATTCATAAAGAAAAAAGTAGTGCATGTATATTTACTCATTTGCATATACACCAGTAGCCCTGCAAGAACGTGCCAGAGTAGCATTTGCTGCCTCCCAGGAATGGAAGTGGGTGGCTGAGACAGTTGGGATGGAGACTTCAGTGTCTTCGTTTATGCCCTTGCAGTTGTCTTGATATCCTGTATCAGTTCAAAATGTTTACCTTCTTTGGTCATTTTGACTCTGGAAAGAGCGAGAAGTGGCACTGTGCCAGATCTGGCAAATGCAGCGGATGAGGACAGAGAGTCACATTTTTATGAGCCTGCTTTGCCATGGAATGGTATTCAGCAACAGCATTCATTGTATTTTTTATCACACTACATGAAAACATGAAAGAGTACTTCCAGAACTATTCAGAAAGTAGCGAGAATAAGTGTATTCAACATAGGGGAAGTATTTTGAGGACAGCGTGTCTTTTACTGTAATAAACTTTTTTTAGACTTTCCAGTTATATTGTTTATTCCCTTCTCAGTACAACTTCATCTTTTTAATAGCAAAACATTTATTGGAACATTTTATGCATACATAATGATAACATCGTAGGAATTGTCCATGATACATCTCCTCTGTGTACAAAAGCTTTGTCTCCATTTTTGTCCCTTCCTCCCTCCCTCCTCCCTCACTCCCCTTCCCATTTGAACATTTTCTTTCCATTTCCCAATGTCTGTTTTACATTTTAGTCCTTATTTCCACTTTCGGTTTCTCACACCAGAGAAACAATGTGATATTTAAACCTGTGTATCCGTTTTTTTGTTTGTTTTGTTTTGTTTTGTTTTGTTTTTTTGTTTTTTCACTTACGAGTGTGGTCTCAGGGTCCATCCATTTAGCTATAAGGGTCTGGAGCTCATTCTCTTTGTGTCAGAGTAGGACTCCATTGTATAAAAAACTACAGCTGCTTTTATTGTAATAAATTTTTAAAATTTTAAACATTCACCCTATATTCTGATCATCCTTTGTATGTGTAGCCCTGAGCTCAGCACTGGTGGCCAACCCATGGCACTGTATCATCGGAAGCTCTAAAGGTTCGCCATCACTGCTCTGAGCTGTGTGCTTGCATTACTATCAAGTACCTGCAAGAATAAAATCATTAAAAGATATGTAAAGATTTTTGCATACACAAAGCTAAGAGATTTTATTACCATAGACACTTGCCAGGGGAGCAATGTAGTGTGTTCAGCAAAAACAACAAATATGGATCTACATCAGGAGGTGGGGGCAAGTGGGAAGATTAATGAGGTCAAGAATTGCGACAGTATACTTGACTGTTGACCACAGGGACGTACAGTAGCACCTCAGCTCACAAACTTGATTCTTGCCATGATTCTTGTCATGACTCTGGTCCTAAACTGAGAACTGAATGAGATGGATGAGAACTGAACCAAATTCAGTGATTAGCTTCAGTGATGACTTTATATGGGGACATTTGATTTAATTCTCATTCAGTTCAACTTGTGACCGGAATCATGGTGAGAATTGAGTTCATGTACTGAGGTGCCACTGTAGTCATTCTTGAAAGCTGTACAAACTTGAAACCACTGCAGCCAAGAGAGTCTTATGGGGGTTTCAAGAAGGTGACTTGGGTGGGGGTCCACTAGAACATTGTTTCTGGAGGCAGGGATGGACTGGTCTTGGCCACAGATAGATTGAAAGGTGTTTTGTCTGATGTAGGTGCTGGTCACAGCTTCTGTTGTGGGTAGACAGCCTTGGAACTCTTCTGACTTATTTTCACGAGCAAGGCCATCTTAGCGAGAGGAAATCAAGGATGGTTTTCAGGCAGCATCGAAGACAGTGAGGTGCCTGGTCCTGCACTTGACATGGGAGCAGCTTACTGGAGTGGCCCAGAGGATGTGAAGTTGCCATGGCAGCCAGTATTGTGGGTTTGCCAGCAGAAAGAACCCAGGAAAAAAGGAGCTGTGTTGTGTAGACTTAGGCAGAGGAGGGTTCCACTGGACACAGCTGGAAAGGAGTAGTGGCTGATGGGAACAGCAAGATGAAACCAAGCTGAGTGGTGTCCTGCAAAAACCCTTTCTTGGGTTTGGGACCTCCAGACTCATAATCTGTCTGTGTAATTTCCTGGGAATGAGGGTGCAAGAGATTTACCAGCAGAGAGTGGACTTCCACCTGCCTTCTCTGTGTCACCACTTCTCCTTCTGGGATAGCAGCTAGAGAGCTATGCTCCTGGATGCTCTGTGCTCCACACATTTGATGAGAATGGAGAACTGAATCTGCTGGCCACTATGAAATGTAACTCATCTCTTCTTTGTAAGGAACCCATCTTTACAACAGCAAGGAGAGTAAATGTCACCACAGTAAGCCACATTTTACCCAAAAGAATATAGAATGTTAGTAGCAGCCATTATAGATTGCCTGGTCACCTTTACCTACAGACAAGCAGACCAAGGCTCACGATAACCTTGGGTTACCTTTCCTGGACACCTTTGACTGTGACAGTTTCGTCACTTACATGAGATCAGCATGTGGTTTCCCACTGGATGACAACTGTCTGCTTGGCATACTGAACATTGGATTCTTATTCTTAGATGTCTTGCTGTTTCCCCATTGTGTGAGTCATCTTGGGCTTTGCTTCATGATACCTTCATCCTAATAACGAAGTGAATGATGACATTTCTAATTTCTATTTAACTTTCTTATTGCGGAAAATTTAGCTGATTAAAAGCTTCCTCAAAAATTCTATAAAAATGAACAAACATTGATGCTACCCAGTAGAGATAGTATACTTAGAAGTATGTCTCCATCTGCCCTTGATTTTTGCAGAGAATGATGTGGTAATTAATCAACTTTGGTGAATCAAATTAGCTAGAATGAGAACTAGAACTAGAATTCTGACAACTTAGCTCCAGAAGAATGAAGAATATTGATGGCAGAGGAATTTGAAAATGTTCTCAAGGTTTCATATTTAAAATGTTTACACTTAAACACCTGGGAACGCATATTCTAAGAATGTACTAGTGATTTTGTTCAATCTTTGTCATCATTGGTTTTAAAATAAAATGCTCCTTCTTTGAGAGGCAAATTGGGATATCTGCATGTGTTTGCCACATTCAGGAGAGTCACTGCCATATTTTAAATGAAAATATGAATATTAAGAATACTGCAAGGCCAGGGATTTAGCTCAGCGGTTCGGTGGCCTGCCTTGCAAGCGCAAGGACCCGAGTTTGATCCCCGGTACCAAAAAGAAAAAAAAAGAATACTGCAGCCGGGCGTGGTGGCACATGCCTGTAATCCTAGCACTTTGGAGGCTGAGGCAGGAGGATCGCTGTGAGTTGGAGACCAGCCTGGGCTCCATAGTGAGTTCCAGGTCAGTCTCAGCTACATAGTGAGACCCTGTCCCAAAAAACAAACAAACAAAAAAAGAATGTTGATAGTACCCAACATTGAAGAGTATGAAGGCACCCTCTAATAGTTGTCCTTCTAGATGGTATTTCGAAAAGGCAGCAAAAGGGTTCCCTTCAAACCATTAGTCCATTTCTGAGAATTTAACCGAAGGAAAGAAATAGCCAAGTGTGCAAAGGAAGATGCAGCAAGAAGAGTGCAGCAGCTTCTTATATAGCAGGGGCTGCACAAGTTCAACCTCCACCTGTGAAATCTGTGAGTGGTTAAATTACAGCTAAATTATGATTTGTCTGTGGCATGGAATATTAGACACTTGTTAAAAGTATTCTGATCGTAGCCAGGCATGGTGGCCCACACCTGTAATCCCAGCACTTGGGAGGCTGAGGCAGGAGGATCGCTGTGAGTTCGAGACTAGCCTGGGCTACATGGTGAGTTCCAGTGCAGTCTTAACTACATAGAGAGACCCTATCAAAAAAAAAAAAAACTATTCTGATCATGTATTATTTTATGTTCAATTTGAATGATATACATATAGAAATGTGTAATCTATATAAATGTATAATATACATTTGACATGATCCCATGAAGATATGTTTCTGTGGGGTGTGTGCCAGTGTGTATGTGCGTTGGCATCTACATATCTGTGAGGTGTGTGTCTGTGGCTCTGTGTGTGGAGAGTATGTACTTAGACACAGTAGTACATATGGAGTGTGTATATGTGTGCCCATGGGTGTGTATCTGGTTCTGTATGTGAGTGTGTATATGTGTACATGTTGTCAGCACACGTGGAGAAGCAGTTCAAAAAGATGTGGGCCATAGCATTTAAGGATCCATGGTGTGATAATGAAGGGTGTATGGTGTGGACTGTTTATGTTTTCTCTTATTCATAGAACTAGTTAAAAGAAGTATATCATTATGAAAACCCAGATGTTTACAGTATATGTAACTTAATGTGAATTTAAATAGTCATAAGATTATTCCTTTTGATTCCTTTTTCGTGGCTATATGTGTAGCTGCCCTGCTTTTCTGGCAAAATACTTGTCTTGTTAACATCATCAGTATATGTGACAGCGGTTAGGTTTTATCGAGCTATGTTTTTTTGTTTGTTTGTTTCTGTTGCATGTTGTTGAAGAAGTGGTACTGATGTAACGGGGAAATAAGTGTCTTCTTACGTTATGTAATATTCACCTGCTCTCTTCACAGACGGCAGTGACATTAAGAGCCCACTGCAGCGCCGCCTCTATACTGTGAGTTTGCCTCCTGAGGGGTATACGCCCTGCTTCCCAGAGCCCACCAGCTGCGCTGACTCTGAGCAGGCCTCCAGTGCCGACGATGCAGAAGGTAAAAAGTTGGGATGGAAGGAGGAGTGAACTCCTTCGCCAGATAAATCATTACTTTCTATTATGTCTAAATTTATAAGAGGGGTATGGGTAAGCTACAAATGGTTGTGAAAAACTCATAAAACAGAAAAATACCTAGCATGTGGAAGATGAAATATTATAGCCCTATTTGTTAATGCATTTCAAGTCTGGAACTAAATATATCAAAACACATCAAGTAAACATATCAAAATATATAAAGTATAACAGTACTTGGTTAGATAGAATTTTTTTCTTGATTTTATAAATTTTTCAAATTTCTGAAATTGTATAATCAAGGAGTTAACTTATTTTTTTCTCTTATGGGAAAACATTGGTCTATTATCATTGCATCTTATGAATAATAAAGAAAATAGTGTTCTAATACTTAATGCAGGTCACTGTCGGTGGGCAGGTATTGATGTTACACGTTACATTTTCACCTTAAAATAGAATGTTTGTTTTTCTCTTGAAGTTGAACATTTGAAAAATTTCCTAAGAAGAATTGAGAATCTTCAAATAAGAATTTTTCCTGGATGATTTTTAGCAAGTAGAAACTAAGAAAGTCTAGACCGTAAACCTTAATTTGAATATCAAGAAAATGTGGTTTTCTAACAAAAACTGGGTAACTAAGGAAGAATTTATTCATCTTTCAAGCCCTGTTGAAAATCTTTGAAATATAATTATTAGATAAATAATTTAATTACAAGGTTTAACTGCACTTAAGAAGATATATTTTTTGAGGTTTTTTTATTGCGTGTTTAGTGTGTCTCCTAGGAAAGTGTGTTGGATTCGCCTTATGTGATGGTCTGCAGTTCTCCTTTGTGGGTCCTGTGTCTGGTCGACCCCTCCTATGCCTTCGTGCAGTTAGCTCACCCATCTGCCGTCAAATGCAGTCAGCTCTTACGTGCTCTTGTAGCTGGTTTGCCCTCTGTCATGTGCTGCTGTGGGCATAGGTGCCCATTTGTGTACTCTGGCATACAGTAAGCTGTCACATGCCACAGCACACGTGTAACTTGCTCACATGGTTGTTTCACATGCCTATCGTGGTATGGTTGGCTTTTGCCCAGCGCTGTTAAACATAGTTGGCTCTCACATGCTGTTATGCCATTGACTTGCACACTGGTTGGTGACACAGTTGGCTGTCACACTCTGATGTTTGCGGTTGACTAACATGCATAAGATAGGCAGTGTCGGTTCTTATGCTCTGCTGTATGCAGTTGACTCCCATGTACACAATTGGCTGGTGTACACAGTCAGCTGTTGCGCTCTGGAGTATGCAGTGGGCTTTGCTTCTGATGTCCCTTCAGACAGCCTATATGAGGGTCTTGGTGGGAAAAACCTCAGTTTGCCACGAGCAAATAACACTTCTCACACTGGTTGTTGGTGAAATTTTTACAGGAAAGGGAAAGACATTTATCTTACAAAAACTGTGACGTCAGGCCAGGGATTTAGGTCAGTGGTGCCCCCGCCTGCCTCGCAAGTGCAAGGCCAGTGTTCCATCCTTGGTACCAAAAAAAAAAAGCTGTGACTTGAAGACTCAGTGTCTGTACTCTTAGGTAGCTAACCTCTTTCTATGGCCTGTGACTCCCTCCCCTAGACAGCTGGGAGAAACTGTGGGCTGCTGGGAGCCAAGTCTAATTGCTCTGAAAAGAGAAATTGAGCAACTAACATTCATTTTTAAATGCTAATGGTAAGTTCAATCGTTATGTAACTGAATACAACATTATTACAAGTTACATTTTTAGAAGTAATTCATTAGGTAAAGGTTTCTGTTAATTCATTTTTGTCCTCTATTTCCTTGTTCTTGGAAACTGTAAATGTGTTTTCTTCTGTTTTTAGAGGAAAACAGTAAGTGATGGGCACTGCCAGGGTATGGGTGAGCCAGGGTCATGGGGCTCAGCAGCAGGCTGGGCCCTTGTTGGTTGATTCCCTAAAATGGGATCACCACTCTGACCTTCGTCCCACCTCTGTGTTCACACTGCTTGGTGCTGTCCAGAGGGAGGACATAGTAGCACTTCATAGATAACCAGAGGCTGCTTCAGAGCCTAAATGGCCAGTGTCTGCCTTGTTTAGTGCTCCCACAAGAGGGCCTGGTAGTTTTGATAGATTAAAGTGAACTGAAAACATTTACGCAGTTTTTCAGAATAGCTCTGAAATCAGTGCCAGCCTGAGAGGTTGCTGTCTTTCAAGTTTGAATGTTTATAATTCATCTCCAAATGTTCTGATTTGCTTTTTTTTACTATCTGTTTATTTAAGTATGGTTTTTTACTCAAAATTTGATGAAATGAGCCACTGAAGGGCATGTGAAATGATGTGGTTGGAGAAAAGGTATGAATCACCACTTTACTTGTGTTGTCTACATTTGCCTCCAAAATGAAAGAGTATGTAGAGAAGCCTGAGTCAAACTGCATCAGCCTGGTGTGAGATCAGATGAGCAACTCCATGCCTGTGCCTCTCAGGGCCCCAAGGCTTGAGGGATGTGTAGGAGCCTGGCAGGAAGAGGCAAGGCCACTCCACGGGTCATGCAGGAGCAAGGTGTAGAGATGTCAACTGGAAAAGAAGGGACAGTCTCCAGAGTTCTCTAGCTGCAATTGTTTAAAGAAACAGAACATGAGGCCTAAAGTTACCAAAGAAGAAAAGGTCTGATTCTCCCTCTTTTCAGAGAAGCACTTCCAGTTGTTGGCTTTGATTTTGAGTTGCCAGGAACAGCTTATCTACTAGGTGGTAACTTCTAGAAGAGTGCAGGAAACAAGGCCCTGCTCATGTTTACCTTGGCTAACACCGTCTGTGCCAGTCCCCCTTCCAGCTGCCTCCTGCAGGCTAGCACTCAGGGCTCCATCCATCCGAGCCCTACTCTGGTGCTCAGGCTCATTGCCCTTAGGCTGCACTACTCAGGTGTAGCATTAGGCCTGGCCTTTACATCCGCACCTGACATCCTCATGGTGTTCATGTCTCTGAGACTCGGTCTCTCATCACCTCCAGGAAACTTTCCCTGAACTCCGAATCTGGTCCACTCTGAAATAGCGTTTTATAGATGCCCCATCTTTGTATCTGTCCCTAAGAGCCCTTAGGCTAGAGCCGTGTCCTTTGTCTTGTTGGCTCTGGTACCTGGCTCAGTGCCTTGTGAAAAGTCAGATTTCATGGTTATTAATCATATCAGGATCCATGTATCGTGATGATGAATAAAGTCAGGATCCAAGTATCATTCGTATGTCCCACTCTGTGTCCCTCCTGTTTTGTTCTTTGGGGAATCTCTAAATGTAAATCTCTGAATGTTCTTTGAGGATTCTCTGGAAGTTCTTTCAGGCTGCAGTTTGTTAGGAACAGGCAGGAGGAGTTGTAGGAAAAGGAAGTGGGTTATTGAATCTAGATCCAGTCTTAGAAGGTGTAGGGTGGGATTTGTCCTGGGACCTCTCCTCACTGGACTGTAGGTTGAGTCATGGTACAGCTCTTAAGGGAGAAGATCGCCTCCTCCCTTCACAGGCAGTGCTTCTCTTCTCTTCATGTGGCTGCATGCTGTTCACCAGGAGCTGGCAAACTTCAGGCCTCTTCCTCACAGATCATCTTCTGTAGATTTTGCCAAAAGAAAGCCTTCCTTTTTGGCAACGTTTCCATGGTGAGTGTTAACCAATGTTGTCTAGCACATGAACTTTTCAAACTTGGAAGAACTCTGCTTTCTCTGTCTTGCCCCTCTGTAGGTTGCTACCTTGCACAATGTTACATTGCACTGATAATACAATTCCTGGGCGGCAGCTGGGATCATAATGTTACCTTTATGTCACATCAGTTTTGTGACAAATTCACTTTTCACGTTTGTGTCCTTATGGCCCAGTTACTGTTCCTCATGCTACTTTCTCTGTTCCTTGTTTGTTAAACACATATAAGTAGCTGAACCAAGAATTCAGCCTTGCAACAGACAGCAACGAGCCCCCTTCTGTCTCCTTAGAAACAGAATCATAACTGATCTCCAATTTCAGTTCTAGCTTTCTAATGAATCTCGGGCAACCAACGAGCCTGATGTCTTACATGTGCGTTCTTGAAAACATCATTGATCTTGATTTGAAATTTGGAGTATATCGCCAGATTTGTTATGCACCTGTCAGGACCAGCGTTTTGTATGCTTTAATCTCCTTACGCCTCAGTAAAAGTAAACAGTTCTTACTAGCTGCATACTAGCCGCATCTTCCACTTCCCCTTTCTGATTTCAGTGCCCTTACTTTTTTCTATCAGTAACAATGTGTCATTTGAAAGAAAGTGAACTGAGGCACATTTGTCAGGACAGCCCCCCATGAGCGGATGCCCTGACCTGTTTGTGGCCGAGGCTTCAGAGGAAAATGCACAAGCTTGACCTGCCGCATGCCATTCCATGCCACTTCTACAAAGAAATGGGAACCTCAACTTTTTTAAACTAAGAAAATAAGTCTTTAGAAAAGAGGGGCCTTCTTTTTCTAAATGCTTTAATCTTTGGTATTTTATTTCCTAAAGAGTATTTTGTTTTTCTTGACCACAAAAATTCTAATTATTGAAAAACCAAGCATAATAGAAGATGTATAGGAAGTAAAATGTCATCTCTGGGAACTAGACAATTTTTAATAAACGCTTAGTAAAATCTCTGCCTGTGCATATTATGCATAAACATAAATTTCATGCAATTGCTATATTATATATACTATCTTATAAACTATGTGGGCACATAGTATGTTATGAAAGCCTTTTCAGTGCATTTATCACTGTTCATGCATGTATATTTCATGTTACATTATAAATCTGTTTCTTGTTTTTCTTTCATTGAGTTTATTGGTACATTTTAGGTACACGGTACAGTTACATTCATCATTGGGATCCTGTACCTTTACATGACAGGTCTTGGTTCTCATTTTTCCGCTTGTCTCTGCCCTCCCTTCACTCCTCCTACCCTCCCCATTTATAAACACTTTATTTCCATTTTTTCATTTTCTCATATTTTTTTTCTTTTCCCTT